GATGGCTTCGACAGTGGTGGCGCAGAGGCACCTGTGGCTGACCCTCTCCGACGTCCCTGATAGAGACAGAGCTGTGTATCTGGACGCACCAGTGTCTGCGGCTGGGTTATTCGGACATTCACTTGAAGCCATTCAGGCTAGATTCGATCTGAGGAAGAAGCAGACGGAAGCTCTGCGCGACATCATCCCCAGACGCCAGCCCCAGCCCAAGCCCACTGCTAGCTCTCACAGGCCCGCCGCTCCTCTGACAGCTGGCAAGAGACCGGCGCCCACTGCTGGAGTGGGAGGGCCGCCGGCGAGAGCACGTACTCCGGCCCGAGCTCCACGCCAGTCGGCCTGGGGCAAAGGCCCTCCCCGGGCCCCCGACGGGACCCGACGCCCAGGAGGAAGAAGCCTCAGCCCTCCTAGCTGTGATTGCGAGTGGGGAAGGGATCCGGCAGCAGGAGACGCTGCTCTTACCCCTCTGTTGCCGCACAAGAGGTGCCGCTTAAGTTCTGTTCAGGTTGTCAGCCCCAGAAGGCGCTGCACTTCCCTATCGCGGTCTCCCAAGCACATAACCCCTGCACACGGTTCAGATGTGTTGAATGTTCAAGCGACCACATCGAGTGTTCCCGCTGTTTTTCATTGTTATGCCCCGGAAAAGGTGCACCCAACAAAATGTATAAATGTACATGTTCCATGTTGCAATCAATAAAGAGTGTGGTTTACTCTCAAACAATCTCAAATGCTCAACCTGCAGGCGAAATGAGCCAGGTCAGGCAGGGGATGCAGTCCCCTGCAGACACACTGGGGGCGACGGCGCCCCGCCGTCAGTGCTGCAGGCCAGCCGGCTGGCTGCTCACTTCCCTCAGTGGCGCGCTTGCGCCCCCTCTCCGTGGGTGCTGCAAACCGTTGCCATGGGTTACCGGTTGCAGTTCCGGGTCAAGCCGCCTCGTTTCCAAAGAGTCGTGAACACGATTGTCAACCCCGAGGCAGCCTTGGTACTCAGAGAGGAAATACAGGCGCTATTACAGAAGAGAGCAATACGGGTGGTCCCCGCTTCGGAGACGGACAAAGGTTGGTACAGCCGTTATTTTGTCATTCCGAAGAAAGGGGGAGGGCTTCGTCCCATCCTCGACCTGCGAGTCTTGAACACGTACCTGCGAACGTACAGGTTCAAGATGCTAACACTCAGACAGCTCCTGAGTGCAGTCGGCCCGGGAGATTGGTTTGCGACAATCGATCTAACAGATGCTTATTTTCATGTCGCTATACACCCGAAACACAGGCAGTTTCTGAGGTTTGCATTCGAGGGCGTAGCCTACGAATACCTAGTGCTGCCGTTCGGGCTGTCGCTCGCTCCCCGCACCTTTACGAAATGTGCCGAGGCAGCGCTAGCGCCCCTCAGGAAGAGGGGCATCCGCATCTTGGCCTACCTGGACGACTGGGCTCTCGTGGCTTGCTCCAGAGAACAGGCGGAGACGCAGCTGTCGCGGGTTCTGTCACACATTCAGACACTGGGGTTCTCTGTGAACTTTCAGAAGAGCTCGCTAATCCCAGGTCAACAGATCGCTTTTCTCGGTCTGGAAATATGCTCTCTTCCAGCCGCGCACGGTTGTCAGAGCACAGAGTGGCCGCGTTTCATCGCTGCCTCGCTCAATTTCAGCTGGGACGCAGACTGCGTTTCCAGACGATATTGCGCTTGTTGGGCATGATGGCATCTATGATCGCCGTAGTGCCGCTTGGGCTGTTGAAAATGAGAGCGTTTCAACGCTGGACTCTCTCTCACCGTTTGTGTGCTTCGCGTCACCTCCGGAGGAGGCTGCCGGTAACTGCGTCTTGCATGCTAGCTCTCCGTCCTTGGAGGGAGCCCGGGCTACTGCACCAGGGCTCTCGGATTGGGAGGGTGTTGTTTCGCAAGGTGGTGTCCACAGATGCTTCCCTAAGTGGGTGGGGAGCGCTGTGCGAGGGTGCGTCAGTGAGAGGGATCTGGTCCGCGGCTCAGCGCCAGCTGCACATCAACCACTTAGAGCTGTTAGCAGTGTTCTTAGCTCTAAAGCGTTTCCGTCCAGTCCTGCAGGGCCAGCATGTCTTAGTCAGGACGGACAATTCAACAGTGGTGTCTTATATAAACAGGCAGGAGGAACACGCTCTCTTCCCCTGTTGCAGCTGTCTCGCTCTCTGCTGTTATGGTGCAGTGTTCATTTTCTGACTCTAAGAGCCACCCATGTCCCGGGCCACCTGAACCTGGGGCCGGACCTTCTCTCCAGGGGGGGTCCTCTGGTGAGAGAATGGAGGTTACACCCTTCAATAGTGGCTCAGATTTGGGATCTATTTGGCGAGGCGCAAATAGATCTTTTTGCTTCCAGGGTGAATGCTCACTGCCCCCTGTACTTCTCCATAATCGACCACGATGCACCCTTGGGCTTGGACGCGCTAGCGCACCAATGGCCAGACGTGCTCCTGTATGCATTTCCCCCAGTGGAAATGATATCTCCAATTCTGGAGAGGGTGCGTCGGCATTCCCTCTCTCTGATCCTGGTGGCCCTTGGTGGCCCGCGAAGTCGTGGTATGCAGAAATAATCAGCCTGCTTGCAGCAAGTCCTTGGCAGCTTCCTCTCCGCAGGGATCTCCTCTCTCAGGCGGGGGGGAAGTGTTTCATCCGCGCCCGGATCTGTGGCACCTTCATGCTTACCTGCTGAGAGGTTAAACTTGGTTGCTAAGGGTCTGCCACCTAGTGTGGTAGCGACGATTCAGAGCGCCAGGGCCTCGTCTACTAGAGGCTTGTACGCTTACAAATGGCGAGCCTTCGAGCGATGGTGCCAGGACCGCCACACTCTCCCATTTCAGTGCTCTATTGTGGATGTTTTGACATTCCTGCAGGAGCTGTTGGATAAAGGCCTTTCGTTTTCGACGATCAAGGTTTATTTAGCGGCTATATCTGCTTGTCATATCGGTTTTGACGGGGTGACACCAGGTGCGCATCCCCTCGCCGTGCGTTTTCTGAAAGGGGTTCGCCGGCTGAGGCCCGTGCTTAAGTCAGTGTCCCGGCTTGGGACTTGTCTTTGGTGCTGGAGGCCCTTTGTGGCCCTCCGTTTGAACCCGTTGAGTCGGTAGATATGAAACTTCTTTCGTATAAGACCGCATTACTTCTCGCTTTGGCCTCGGCGAAGCGAGTGGGGGACCTTCATGCGCTGTCTGTGCATCCTGCCTGCACACAGTTTTCTCCTGATGGCCGCAAGGTCGTATTGCGTCCGAATGCCGCCTATCTTCCCAAGGTCATGCCTGCATCTTATAGTTCAATGGAGTTTGAGTTGCTGAGCTTTTGCTCCCTCCTTTTGAATCTGAGGAGCAGAGGAGGGTGCATTCTCTTTGTCCGGTGCGTGCGCTACGCACCTACATTGAGCGCACTCGGGATGTGCGTTTGTGTGACCAGTTGTTTGTCTGCTTCGCTAATCGAATAGAGGTAGAGCTCTGTCCAGACAGAGGCTGTCCCACTGGATTGTAGAAGCTATCTCGCTGGCATACAGCACCGGAGGTTTTGCGTTGCCCCACGGGGTGGGAGCTCATTCACCAGGGGATGGCGACCTCATGGGCTCTTTTTAGAGGGGTGCCTGTGGCTGATATTTGTGCAGCGGCTAATTGGGCGTCGCCGCACACTTTTGTGCGGTTTTATCGGTTGGACGTTACAGCCCTTCGGTGGCTCATGCTGTCCTTTCTGCTGGGTCTACCACTCACTGAGGATGTGGTGGTCCCGTTCCGGTTCGGTGGCTGCTCTGCGGGCGTGTATATAGGTCCCATACTTATGTGTTGTACGAGTGAATCGACTGAAAGGGAACGATTAGTTATGTCTATAACTTCTGTTCCCTGAAGGAGAGGAACGAGGTACAACACAGGGTGGCCCCACTGAGCAGTTGGCTCGGTGAAGAGCGGCTATCGAACTGAGGATGACGGTGATGGCAGCGGCTATATGTGCGGGCGGGGCCTTGCGCGTGTCATCACACGTATCTGCCGTAAAGGCGTGAATAAAGGTTTCTTCAGCCAGGACACGCGAGGGCGTGATATCCCATACTTATGTGTTGTACCTCGTTCCTCTCCTTCAGGGAACAGAAGTTATAGACATAACTAATCGTTTCAGATGATGTGGTCGGTGTGTGCAAATCATCGCTGTGAGCCAAAAGTTCAGGCTCCAGAATAATTCAAATTCGCATTTTGATACTGTATTTTTCACCCTGCTGTTGTGTGTGGATGATGCTAGATCATTCACCTGTAGCTCAGACACACTCAGATAAAATGGTCCCAAATACTTACTGTTCAAGCCTGTTGTTTGTGAATTTATCACCTCAGTTTCTACTTTCAGGTCTTAGTGAACACTAGTCCAACCAAAGGCTGATATCAAAGAAATTGCAACAGTCTTCTTTGTTTGCTACACTTTGATAAATAGAGATTTCTTGGCAAGATTGTATAATTCAGCAAGCCTTGGCATAAACCTGGGAGTGTTCCGGTACATGTAGTTTGAGTCATTTTACTCTGTACTCCCCCAACCTTTTTTGCGCCACGGACTGGTTTATGCCCGACAATATTTTCACGGACCGGCCTTTAAGGTCCATCCATCCATTCGCTTATCCTTTTCAGGGTCGCGGGGGGCGCTGGAGCCTATCCCAGCTGTCATAGGGCGAGAGGCGGGGTACACCCTGGACAGGTCGCCAGTCTGTCACAGGGCCAACACACAGGGACAGACAACCATCCGCACTCACACCTAGTGACAATTTGGATTATCCAATTAACCTATCCCCACAGGCTGCATGTCTTTGGACAGTGGGAGGAAGCCGGAGTACCTGGAGGGAACCCACGCAAACACGGGGAGAACATGCAAATTCCACACAGAAAGACCCCGGCCTGATGTTGGAATTGAACTCAGGACCTTCTTGCTGTGCGGCAACGGTGCTAACCACCGTGCCACCGTGTCGCGGATAAATACAACAAAATAAAACTAGTACCGGTACCAAAAAAAGATTTATTCATAACACACGTGAAAAGACCCAGAAAAACCGAGTTAACGATAAAAACGATAACAAAATAACGCTAAAAACCTATTAACCTATTAATGAAGTCCAGGGTGTTTGGATGGCACTTTAGAGTTAGTCTCTATTTTTGAGTTGGGTGTTGATATTACATAATGTGTGAGGGCACATCATGGTCAATGTCTGCAATCAAGAGACGACTTTGCATCACACTTATAATTTTCCGCTTTGGTTGCTAATTTTCCTATTCAGATCAGTTAAGAACTCTGTGAATAGAAATGCTTTTAGTTTGTTGCTCTATTTTTACTTTAGTTTTTTATGTACTATATTATACATTTTAAAACTTGAATGTTTGTAGTTTTTGAACTAGTTGGATAAGTACCGGAGCATTTTAATTGTGAATAATAAGTTTCAACTGATTGTTGAAACGACCTCCTCGGTTTTGGGGTAATAACTGTACATGTCTCTGAAATGTAGGCCTCGGATATTTTGAATAAACTGTAAAAACAAAATAAAAATCCAATTGGTGATGCAGAAGTTGCATTATTTAAATTTAGGAAGATAAATATTTTGATGACTTTGAACCTGTTTACCTTAAAGGAAATGTTGGTGCAATAACAATATAAATATCAACAATGATTGATAATTTTCACAAGCAAATTAAACAACCGAATGCAATTTAAAACTCACACTTAAGGGTCACGTAACACACAACTGTGTGTCTCATTTAAAGCTAATCTGCATATCAAATTCATCCTGACCTTTAATTATGTAAATAGAATTAGTCACCACAGCAAAACAACTGTAATAAAAAAAAACAGCAGTTGTAGTCTAGTATATCAGTTTGTTCGTAGCTTCCACACATCCAGCACTGACTAAAAAACATTTGGAAACAGTTATTGGCACTTTTGTGGAAAACATAAAAGGTATAGCAACAAGCAGCATAGTTGACTAATGTCTGCACACGTGCCATCTTATATAGCCTTACAAAATAATACTGTGGTTCAACTGGGCACGTGCATGTAGCTGTGTGTGTGTGTGTGTGTGCGTGTGCACACATTAGGGAGTATTCCAATGCTTAATAGCACTAGACGTCTGCTCAGCACATCATGGAAGCACTTCTAAACAGCCATGGCAACAATCAGAAAATGTTGCAGCAGATTTGAGCTACCCCCTACTGGACATATTCTCCTTTAAAGAAAAGTTTCAGTTTCAAAGTTAGCGCTGCCTCTTGCTTATTACATCACATTCGAGTCACAAAAATAGTGAAGATGCCAGCTTAAGGCTTTACAATGCACTTTGTTAACCAGTGTGAGGTCTATCTTTTATGTACAGTCTGTAGTCAAAACTCAGTATACGATAAATAATAATAATAATATAGAAAAAGGCATAGTCTCCATCTCACAGCAACACAACAATATTCATATTTGCTTTTTCTGTTGATTTGTTGGGGATGGTTCAGCGCGGCTTAGCGTACACCTTAAAAGGGTAGGGTGTGCGAGTGGCTCCGGTGACTCCTTCTGTACTCAGCTTGACTCCATCCAGAGTGGAAAAATTAAACTTCTGAAACAAACTGACAAAAAACAGGAAGAGTTCCATCCTTGCCAGCCCCTCACCGAGACACGCACGCCTTCCTGGGAAATGAAGGTGACTCTGGTTATCACCCCATCTAACCAATATCATAATTACAGTTTATATGTTAAAATTACCTGCAGAGAAAGGTAAAAATGCTCCCCTCCTCACAAACTTGCCCTCGCTATCTAGGAAATGTTCAGGATTAAAGGTGTCTGGAGTCTCCCATTTATTCTTATCAAACAGCACTGAAGTCAGGTTAGGCATCACAGAGGTCCCCTGCACATAGACGACAGCAGTCACATTCAAAGATGGTATTCAAAGTGCTGGTTTATACAGCTAGGCAATGTTTGTAAGAACAAATATAAGACAAAAAAAAGACCATTTTATCTTGAAAAAAGGACAAAGAACCCTGCCTAAAATCTCATGCAAGGGCTTGTTGACAGTAAACACTTGCTCATTGCTAACACTGTTAAGGGGGTTATAATCTGGGAAACGACACATACTGTTTTGTTAAGGTATAGGCTATATATTTAGCATGTATCATTATTAGCGACCTTGCTCTCTTTCAGAAAAAAATGTTTTCCCATTTTGGCATCTGCAATGCATTTGAAAGCAACATTCAGTTTTAAGTTGCAGTGTGGCTAGTGGAAAAATAGAAATCTCAGTCATTGTTTATTTTGGAAATAGAAAAGTATTTTTGTAAAAAGCGAAATTATTTTTGGCAAATGCAAACCTTGTTTTTGGTCCCCAACGTGATGGTTTACCTGGATGAAACCAACGCAAGAACTTGAACTAAGCAATTTTTAATCTTATGTAGGGGGCTTAAGCTGCTGTGTTCTATGAGCAGACCAGATGCACCTTGGGTATGAAGTAACCACCCAGGATTGTGTCCTTGGCGGCCATCCTGAGTCCATTGAGTGGAACGATGTTTCCCATCCTCTGGATCTCGTGGATGACAGCATCAGTGTAAGGCAGGTTGGGTTTGTCTGCCATGGTGGGCTGACGGGTCTGTCCGATCACTCTGTCTATCTCTTCCTGGACTTTACCTAGGAGTCAAATTATATTAACTTGTTAATTAGCAGGTATCTGTGTCATATAATTATTTTGATCTCTGACCTGGATGGTATTAAAAACTAGTTTTGTTCTGAACTTACACTGGATCTGAGGGTTCATGATGAGATAGATGAGTCCCCACTGCAAAGTCTTTGAAGTGGTTTCACTGCCAGCCAGGAACAAGTCCAGACAGCACAGAACCAGGTTTTCTTCCTCAAAGCCCAAATGACTGTTTCTGTTGTGCTAGCGAGCAAAGCAAGGTATCAAAAATACAAGTTAATGAACAGATTTTATTTATTACTGTTATTATTATTTTGGTTGAACGTAAACAGCATACTTTCTCCTTTATGAGGAAGCTGTCAATGTAATCTCTCGGGTTGTTGGGGTCCAGATCTAACTTATGTTTCTCGATCTCTTCCCTGATAGATGCCACCAAAGATTTGGAGCTGCTAAAGATGCAATTGTGAGGTCCCGGCAGGTGTTTCATCAGTCCTGGGAATGCATCATATAGCTGTTAGGGGAGGAAATTGAAAAAAATTATTCAGTGGTGGGTTACCTTTCAATATTTTCAGGAAGAAAAAAATCCCACTGTGTCTTACTAGAGCCCATATGGAACCTTCCAGATAGGCCATCTCAGTCAGATTGCTCAGCATGATCTGGAAGTTGTGGTCACTGTAGTCAAATCGTCTCCCAAACACTATCTTGCAGATGATGTTGGAGACAGCATTGTTTAAGAACGGCACTGGGTCGAATGGCTCACCTGAAGACAGGAAATGCGTTTAGTCACAGTACACTGTGTGTGTTTTGCTTTCACTCATTGCTGTCTCTTGACCTTTCTCCTTTTCCATCGCGTCCTTCAGATGTTGACTTTCATCACAAATACTCTGCTCTGTCGACTCCTTAGCTAAACCAAAGGTGCGTAAAGTAGTCATGGCAAAACGTCGCTGTCTCCTCCACACCTTCCCATTACTGAAGAAAAGACCCGCTGAAAGGAAAAGAAAGCAAAAATTACTGAGGTGTGGCTCAGAGGTTGACCTGACTGCTTTGTTGCTGAAGTATTGCATTTGTGTATTTTTTTTGTGTGATTCACCTGAGTTCCCTGAATAAATTCTGGTCACCATCGGGCTGTAAGGCCGGTCCACAAAGTTGTCCGCTTGTGTTACTAAAGCTTCCTTCACCATCTTCCACCCGGACACAAACACTGTTTTGTGTCTTCCCAGACGTATGCAGAACACATTCCCATAAAAATCAGCAAGCTGTGGATGCAGCGGCAGACAATAAGTGGCCTGTTGTCTAGCATGTGATTCTGATAAGATGCATAGCACAACCTGTTGTTAACACTATAACTTAGTATCTGCAAGGTATTTGGTATTATTTTATTATTTTTCCAGAGTGAAACATGAACATTTTCTTAACTTTATTATTAATGTTCTCTTTAAACTATTCAAGCAGTGATTCTACTTCAGATAAAAAAGTTTAACTAAAGAGCGTCAGTGTCAGTGGAAATCCTGAGGTTGCCCAAGTGGACTTTTAAGAAATGTGTAAATGCCACAATGATGTCAGCTTACCTTGGTTAGGTAAATATGAGGCTGTTTGGCATCAATGTTGAAGATGTTTCCTAAAATAGGTAGAGCTGGAGGGCCTGGAGGAAAGCCCGGTGGATCCTTATCCTTACGAAAATGAAAATATACCATAAGGAGGCCGGCAAAAATAATAAGCAGCTGCTCCTTTATATCAAGACAAAGAAACAAATCATGCAGCTGCATTGTGAAGCAGAGTAAAACTAAGTGATCAGGACCTCAGCTCCAGGATCCCTTCCTATTTAGAGATGGGCTGGTACACTGCTGACTCACAGCTTGGGTTTAAATAATGATCTGTGTGTGTGTGTGTGAAAGTTTGTCTGATACTGGGTCAGGCCTCAATTATTACAGATTCTACTAAAAAGTAGCACAAACATTTTTGTTTTATGTGAAATCTTTACATACATACGTGAACGGTTTTCAGTAAACTGATATAAGGGAGAAAAAAAACTTGAATAGTAACACAAATAGTTAAATGTACTGGTGCTTACATATTAAGTATAGCTGAGCATTTAAAGTGCTATCTACTACCAGCCTCATTCACAAAGCACTTTGATTATATACCTGAGCACTTTGTCTAGCATTCACGTGTATGCATACACACAACAATACTTTGACATGCAGACTAGAGGAGCACTGGCTTGTGAAAAAATCAAATGTTAAAATGGGAAAAGAAGCTAGTTGAATATGTAGTTGTGGCTTTGCATATACGGTTTCTTGTGTAACCAGTGAATTAAATCAGGTGTGCGACACAGATTGGCAAACAACTAGTTATGAATACATTTTATTACTAAAAGTGTACATTACAATTTGTCGTTATTGCAATTTAATGATGGAATATCCTTGAATTAAAACACAATATAGTGATTCGGATGCACATGTAAAGAAAATCAGGTAATCTTTGCAGGCAGCAGTGATACAGCAATGACATGAAGATATTAAAATTTTAAAAAAAAAAATCCATCCTTCATTAAAATACTTTTTCTCAGTCTTGACTCTTAGTCGTTGGTTAAATGGCTCAGTGAGATTTATCGAGCCTTGGCGTGAACCTTGAAGGGTTCAGGCACACGTACAATTCCAGAAACTCCCTCTGTGCTCAGCTCCACTCCATCAGGAACAGAGAAAGTGAACTGCTGCAGCAAGCTGACAAAAAACAGGAACAGCTCCATCTTGGCGAGGCTTTCACCAAGACACACACGGTTCCCTGACAAATTTGCAAACACATACACGTGCAGGTTTACAACCTGTGGATGATGTTTTTTTTCTTGTTCAGGTTTTGCTAAAACAAAACACTCATTGTGGGGTTTTACCTGCAGAGAAAGGTAGGAATGCTTCTCTCTTCACAAACTTCCCATCAGCATCCAGGAAGTGTCCTGGGTTGAAGGTGTCTGGAGTCTCCCATTCAGTCTTGTCAAACAGCACAGAGGTGAGTACAGGCAACACACTGGTACCCTAGAAAAAAACCACAAGATAACAACAAGATACACTTTAACAACAACACCTGACAGAGCAAATATGTGAAGCTTAAAATGTATATTGCATGCACCTTGGGTATGTGGTAACCATCCAGGGTTGTATCCTTGGCAGCAACTCTGAGTCCATTGAGAGGAACAATATTTCCCATCCTCTGAATCTCGTGGATGACGGCATCGGTGTAGGGCAGATTTGGTCTGTCAGCCATGGAAGGCTGGCGGGTTTGTCCAATCACGTTATCTATCTCTGCCTGGACTTTCTCTGTGAAAGAGAATTAATAGAGTTCAGAAGAAGCCATATTTCAACACCTGTCTGTTACCATAGCACAATTATGAGTCTCAGTCTGTGCTTTTTTGGTCTGAGTAACTTACTCTTTGTTGTTATTCTTTATTTGTAATATCGTGGTTATTTTGTACACCTTTGTTTTTCTTGCTCATGATGTTTTCTTTTGCCACTAGAGAGCCACTTTACACACGGGACAAACTGTTGGTGGTGAGGACACTCATAATAATGAATGGAACACATTCTGTTCCTCAGAGACAAAGGGGGAGACAACAGGGCTGCTGAGCTGGAGCTAAGCAACCAAACACAAAGATATAAACTCTGCTCCAGCTGTAATCGCTGAGAGTGTGAGGTTCTTGGGCAATAAAAAAGGATGAGCTTAGTGCAGTGATTCAGAATTTAGTGCTATGTGCTTCATAAAAACTTGTCTGAAATGTCAATCAAGCCTTTTATTTGTCACATGCAATGTTTACACCTGCAGTGAAATTGGACCCCCCCCGACCATACATACAGTGGGGCAAAAAAGTATTTAGTCAGCCACCGATTGTGCAAGTTCCTCCACTTAAAATGATGACAGAGGTCAGTAATTTGCACCAGAGGTACACTTCAACTGTGAGAGACAGAATGTGAAAAAAAAAATCCATGAATCCACATGGTAGGATTTGTAAAGAATTTATTCGTAAATCAGGGTGGAAAATAAGTATTTGGTCAATAACAAAAATACAACTCAATACTTTGTAACATAACCTTTGTTGGCAATAACAGAGGTCAAACGTTTACTATAGGTCTTTACCAGGTTTGCACACACAGTAGCTGGTATTTTGGCCCATTCCTCCATGCAGATCTTCTCGAGAGCAGTGATGTTTTGGGGCTGTCGCCGAGCAACACGGACTTTCAACTCCCACCACAGATTTTCTATGGGGTTGAGGTCTGGAGACTGGCTAGGCCACTCCAGGACTTTCAAATGCTTCTTACGGAGCCACTCCTTTGTTGCCCGGGCGGTGTGTTTTGGATCATTGTCATGTTGGAAGACCCAGCCTCGTTTCATCTTCAAAGTTCTCACTGATGGAAGGAGGTTTTGGCTCAAAATCTCACGATACATGGCCCCATTCATTCTGTCCTTAACACGGATCAGTCGTCCTGTCCCCTTGGCAGAAAAACAGCCCCATAGCATGATGTTTCCACCCCCATGCTTCACAGTAGGTATGGTGTTCTTGGGATGCAACTCAATATTCTTCTTCCTCCAAACACGACGAGTTGAGTTTATACCAAAAAGTTCTACTTTGGTTTCATCTGACCACATGACATTCTCCCAATCCTCTGCTGTATCATCCATGTGCTCTCTGGCAAACTTCAGACGGGCCTGGACATGCACTGGCTTCAGCAGCGGAACACGTCTGGCACTGCGGGATTTGATTCCTTGCCGTTGTAGTGTGCTACTGATGGTGACCTTTGTTACTTTGGTCCCAGCTCTCTGCAGGTCATTCACCAGGTCCCCCCGTGTGGTTCTGGGATCTTTGCTTACCGTTCTCATGATCATTTTGACCCCACGGGATGAGATCTTGCGTGGAGCCCCAGATCGAGGGAGATTATCAGTGGTCTTGTATGTCTTCCATTTTCTGATGATTGCTCCCACAGTTGATTTTTTCACACCAAGCTGCTTGCCTATTGTAGATTCACTCTTCCCAGTCTGGTGCAGGTCTACAATACTTTTCCTGGTGTCCTTCGAAAGCTCTTTGGTCTTGGCCATGGCGGAGTTTGGAGTCTGACTGTTTGAGGCTGTGGACAGGTGTCTTTTATACAGATGATGAGTTCAAACAGGTGCCATTCATACAGGTAACGAGTGGGGGACAGAAAAGCTTCTTACAGAAGATGTTACAGGTCTGTGAGAGCCAGAGATTTTCCTTGTTTGAGGTGACCAAATACTTATTTTCCACCCTGATTTACGACTAAATTCTTTACAAATCCTACCATGTGAATTCATGGATTTTTTTTTCACATTCTGTCTCTCACAGTTGAAGTGTACCTCTGGTGCAAATTACTGATGTCTGTCATCATTTTAAGTGGGGGAACTTGCACAATCGGTGGCTGACTAAATACTTTTTTGCCCCACTGTACATAGCAAAGACATGACGTGGGAAGACAGGTCAGAGACAGGTAGTAATTTGGAAAAAACAATGGGCAAGTGGAAGAGGGGAAAAAAGAGACCTCTACTCATACTGGGTTCCTTATGGGAGGTCAGCATGAGAACAGAAAACAAAATGTGTTATTAGTTGTTAGCGTTAGAAGTATTTTGTCCCATCTCTCTCGCCTCTGCCCAATAGATGGCTGCCCCTCTCCAATTCTGGTTCTTCCCGTTAACAGTGCTTATTCATAAGGGGTCATCTGATTATTGGGGTTTTCTCTCTATTATTGTTTGTCCTTTTTTTTTTTTTTTTCCCGAAAATAAAGCACCATGAGGATACTGAGATTATGATTATTGAACTTAAATGAACCTCGTGCATAGATTAAAAAGGAGTGATAATTGTTTAATCATTTAACTCTATTTAACTTTGCCTGCTAGTACATGCTTCACATCACTTCCAGTTTTTACATTGTCCAAATCAATACTGACATCATTATTCAAGTTCAATCATATTCTCGCTGCCTTCATTGAGCCAATCATCATCCACTCTGTGTGCTTTAAAGCTCTGTACTCTTCTGTTATTCTCCCTTTCAGACTCCACACCTCCACCTGACCTGAGTCACTCTGAGGTAGACTCTGTCCTAACTCCTATCAAAACCAGGATTCTGTTCTGCCTGCCATGATGGGTCATCTGAGTTCAATCACCAAATATAAAATGATTAATTTCTCTGTCTCAATAAATCAAGTCCAGTACTCTCCTTAATGAACTCACACCTTCCTGGTTGACAGTACAACAGCCCCTGCAGAACATTTTGGGTACAATCTGAGTGACAAGAAGAACGGTGAAGTAAATGCACTGTTGGTGAACAAAAAGTGGTGCAATCGTCAGCATGTTTGTGTGAAGAACTGTTTCTTTGGTCCACATATTGAATTGAAAGCTGCTGGATTGCATCCATACTAGTTCCTGTTATTGTTGTTACTGTTCACATTTACAATCATCTGATCCATTGTGGCATGACTCACGTCACGGCTAATCCAGTATTTTAGTGTGTTTATGATTTTTTCTGAAGACAGTTCTTGATCTGCTGTGTGCAAATGCTGCTAATGCATGCAGGGCCATTGCATTTCCCATCCTTATCAGATGAGATCAGAATTTGGTCCTATTGATACTGATGTAGGTGCCTCTTTTAAACAACATCCTGTACACACTACAAGTTGCTAGAAGATGGATAGTTGAACCTATGGAGATGTTGCAGAGCTACTTGGAGCCTGCAGACTAAAACCACATGGAGAGGACATTAACAGTACAAGGTGAACTGTGTTTTTCATTGTGAACAGTTACTCCTGGGAGCAATACACATTTCTGCACTCAATTTGAACTTGTCCGGTTGTTTGTATTAAACACCTGTAAAATGAACAGTGGCTTGTTTTGGCTGATGTTAGGATTTGTCAAAAGTAAATAATCTCACATTTGGTCTTTTGGCTATTTTAAAGCTCCATATAAGGGCTTATAAGCCACCCACCCTGGACATCAGGATGTCTGATCAAGAAAACCAGAGCCCACAGCAAAGTAGTGGCAGTTGTTTCTGTTCCAGCCAGGAAAAGATCAGCAGAGCACAAAACCAGGTTGGTCTCAGTGAAGCCCAGGTCAGATTCATTGAGCTGCACAGAGATATTGAAAAGTCACATTTGTCAATTAATATTAGAAAATGGTTCAGTTTTACAGTTCAGTTTGTGCAATGCAGTGTCCACATACATTCTCCATCTTGATAAGGAAAGCATCGATGTAGTCTCCGGGATTGTTGGGGTCCAGGTCCTCCTTGTGGCTCTTTATCTCCTGAGCGATGAAATCTTTGACTATGTCGAAATAGCTGAACATTTTGTTATGAGGACCTGGCAAACGCTTCATCACTCCAGGGAATGATTCATAGAGCTTGTTAATAACAAATGATAAGAGACAGTTTTATTCAAAGCATTAAAGCAACGGCCTAGTATTTACAGAGGGGAAATCTGTCAGAGAAAAAGCACAGCATGCATGCTTTTGTCATACTCTGGAAGAAGTAAATTGTTTTTGACTTACCTGACCCCATATGGAGCCCTCCAACTGAAGACTCTCAGACAGATACTTCAGGATGAGCTGGAAGTTGTGGTCACTGTAATCATATCTTTTCCCCATCACCAGCTGGCAAACTATATTAGACACAGCATTGTTGAAGAGACCTGCTGCACTGAAAAGTTTACCTGAAGAAGAAGAAGAAGAAGAAGAGACAATTGTTACAGGTAACTTTTTGCTCCCTTGTGCAGGATTGTGAGCTTATGTTCCACTTAATGTAAAGCACCTTTCTCCTGCTCTATCTCCTCCTGCAGGTATCGGATCTCCTCACAGATACACTGTTCCATGCGTTTTTTCCCCAGGCCGAAGTCTCGTAATGCAGACAAAGCAAAGCGTCTCTGTGCCTTCCATTTCCCACCGTTGCTCTTGAACAGACCCTCTAAATACAAACATGCAGATTTGGGAGTTAATAACTGGGAAACAATTCCTGCACTGAATGAGAGGAAATAGAGAATAATTTCTTAACCTGTGGGTCCCGAGTAAAACCTGTCAGCCAGGGCACTGTATGGTCGATTCACAAAGTTGTCAGCTTGCGTCACCAGAGCCTCTTTTACCATCTTATATCCAGAGATCATTACCATTTTATTGCTGCCGAAGCAGAAACTGAACACGTTCCCATAGACTTCAGCCAGCTACAAAAAGCACAACAAACACAAAGGATGAAATAAATATGTTTGGTTTTATATGTGTAAACTGCTCTGCTCAGAAGCCAGAAATCCACACTCACAGTTTGACTAACAAATGTAAATATTCAAAATCCAAATCAAATCACATCAACTTTTGTTTTCTCATTGTTAAGAGTGATAAACAAAAAATACATTTTCGTCTTCAAAAAAGGAGGAGAACCTTCTTGGATGGGCTGTACCACACAGCAACATTAATAAAGATTTTTAAAAAGTTTTTCTAAAGTGCATGAACGTAGACCACAAGCGGTGTGCATGGTGTTGTGGGATTTCTCTTTAGCGTATTGTCCTTTATTGTATTGTCTTGATGAAAGGCCTTCATGTTACTTAGTTTAGTATGTCTGGTTCACACCTCATTCACGCTGGGAAACAGACGGTGAGAAACTGGTGAATGCCTCCCAGGAGACGGAAGCTCACACAGGAAGACTTGACCCCAGAGTGGGGGAGATTCACACAGGTGATAGAGAGTTTTTCTGTTTAGAGCCAAGGTGTGAACTGCAACTGTAAAAGCCTTTTGCTCTGTGACTGTGTTTAAAAGGGACCTGAACTGTTCATTGTCAGAGACGACTTTCAGTGCCCCCTGACTGACGTCTCTCCTCATGCATGGGAAATAAAGTGTTGGGTTTTAACTGCTCATCGTGTCTGCAGGCTTTGTTAATAAATTTCCACAACAATGGACTTGTTTCTGAAGTATTCTCTCCTCCCTGTGTTTAAGTAGAAATAAGAATTATTTGTGAGTGTAACATGAACATCTCAGTTTCTGTCTTGAAAGTAGAGCATGTAGACACACCAGCACACAACAATATGTCCAAATAAACAAAGCAGTACTATAAACACTCAATGACACTCAATACTTAGAATCCACTTAACATAATACAAGTATGACTTGACAAGTTTACCTTGGTAAAATAAATATGTGGGTGTTTCTTGTCCACAATCTGGAAATTCCCAATAAAGGGTAAAGCAAATGGTCCTGGTGGAAAATTCCTTGGATTCCTGTTTTTGAGGTGGTATGTGATCAGAAGGAAGAAAAAAATAGAGATTAAAACCCCCTCGGTGCTCAGCAAAAAGCTGGAAAACCACATAGTTAAAGAGAGAGACAGCAGCAGCAGCAGCTGAAAGTCTGTAATCTGTCTTTTCCAGGCACAAGGAAGTGGTTTTGTAAGCCTGTCACGCTTGGGGGGGGGTTGTTAGCCAGAAGCTCAGGTCAGACGAGTCAAGAAAAGGCTCACAATTACCTGAGTCTAAAGGTGATGGTGATACAGCGCTTTCACAACGGCCTGTGTTTAAAGAGCACTGCATTCCCTTGTGTCTGCATGATGAAACCTATTCAGAGTCAATGAATGAACCTTTCATCTCATAGAATAGAACAGAATAGAATATCCCCTTATTGTCGTTGTACATGTAACGCACTGATGAAAAAACATAATCTAAGAGATTGATTCTGCAGTTTCATCTATCTATCTATCTATCTATCTATCTATCTATCTATCTATCTATCTATCTATCTATCTATCTATCTATCTATCTATCTATCTACCTATCTATCTATCTATCTATCTATCTATCTATCTATCTATCTATCTATCTATCTATCTATCTATCTATCTATCTATCTATCTATCTATCTATCTATCTATCTATCTATTGTTGGGAAATCAGTTTTACCCCGGTTCCTTTCATTCCTGGGGCCTCCAGAGATGCACCGGACTCAGTAGTCATTTTCACAAAAACTTTATTCATCTCTCTCTCTCTCTCTCTCTCTCTCTCTCTCTCTCTCTCTCTCTCTCTCTCTCTCTCTATATATATATATATATATATATATATATATATATATATATATATATATATATATATATATAAAAGAATTTATTTAACTTTGTAAATTTGTAAATTGAAACTGTCAGTTATATGAATGAACACTTTTGCATAATCAGATGTGTTTCATAAGGTGTCTTTATTGTAAAGCTAAGAAGTTTTCAGTGTGGAATATGTATGTGGTCTGATTAAATTTGGTCTATTATGTACAGTTGTGTAATTATGCAGAGTTGTCATAGGACAAGAGATGTACCATACCTCTCACAGAGAGCTGTGTTCCAGCAACTCTGCAACCCTGAAATGGATAGGAAGAAGAAAATGGACTGATGGAATAATAAGCTGGACTGCCTTTCCCCCCTGATTCTGTATTATTTAGGCCTCCATGGTCTCCCAGGAAAACAGCTCAGTTGTAACAGTCAGGTTTCACAGTTGTAGAAGCATGAGGGAACCTTTCCCCCCTGTTCTTTAAAGGTTAGTGAATGGTAAAAACAAGCAAACAAGCAAACAATAAAACAAAAAGTGACATTCTGTGAGTATTGCACTCGGATGTATGAATGTCTGTGACAAAGGGGAGGGGACAGCCGATGATCTTCTGCGCTGTGTTGACCACTCTCTGGAGCCTCTTCCGCTCAGCCTGGGTGCAGTGCTTCCCTTAGGTAGTATCATTTAAAAGGCACAGCATACATTTTCATTGTGATGTCGATGACACCCAGCTTTATTTGTCAATAAAGCCAATTGACACACATCAATTATTTAAATTGTAGAAATGTCTGAAAGGCATAAAGACCTGGATAATTTCCCGCTTTTAAATTCAGATACAACTGAAGTTATTCTACTCGGCTCAAAAGATATGGTATCTAGCCAGATTCTTACTCTAGATCGCATTAGCTTGGCTTCCAGTAACACTGTGAGGAATCTTGGAGTCGTTTTTGACCAGAATATGTTCTTCAGTGGTGACATTAAACCAATATGTAAGACTTTTCTCACAATTGCAAGAAAAATTTAATTCTCTTAAATCAGAAACATCCTTTCTCAGAGTGATGCTGAAAAACTAGTTCATGCACTTAATTACTTCTAGGCTGGACTTGTGATTCATTATTGATGTGTGGTCCTAAAAACTCCTAGAAAGCCCTTCAGTTAAATTGATTTTAAAATCCTTCTCATCACATATAAGGGCCCATCGTATCTTAAAGACCTCATAGTTCAATATCACTCCAGTAGAGCACTTTGCTTTCAGACTGCTGGCTTACTTGTGGTTCCTAGGGTATTTAAAAGTAGAATAAGAGGCAGAGCCTTCAGTTTTCAGGCCCCTGTTCTGTGGAACCAACACACAGTTTGGATTTGGGAGGCAGGTATCCTTTCTTTCGAGTTTAAATTTAAAACTTGAGGTGACTGTTGTCTGATTTGGCGCAGTATAAATAAAATTAAATGTAACTGAATTGAACTGTTAAGGGAGGAAATAAGGAAGTTGTTTTGCTGGTTTAACTCACAATATTCTCTATAAGAACGCACTTTCACTGGAACAATAACCACTGATCTGCATCAGTCATCTGAATCACACTGTGTCTCAGTAATTTAATTAAATGTGTACAAAAACTCTTACTTGTGGCTTTATGCTTGAATGTGGTCATACAAAATAGTTTTATTTGCATCTTACTAGAACCCATATGGACCATCCTAGAGTCATCTGAGTCAGATTCCTCATAATGATCAATGTATGTGTATCTGTGTATGACTTCCATGGCATATACTCTTTCCTTTTGGCCTCTTACCCAGACCAGAGGTATGTGATGTTGCCATGGCAAAATGTTGCTGTCTCCTACACACCTTCCCACTGCTGAAGAAAAGACCCACTGAAAGAAAAAGAAAGCAAACATTACCCAGGTGTGGCTGAGATGATGGTTTTACTTCTTTATTGCTGATGTACTGCATTTGTGTACAGAAGATTTACATGACTGAATCACTCCTTCCTAGTTAGAAATGGGCTGGTACACCGCTGACTTGGAACTGGTGGATATAATAATCTCTGTGTCTGTGAAAAAAGCTTTCAGCCACAAGAAACATATTTTCCAGTAAAAACTTATCAGTCTTCATTTGTTTAGAAGGCTAAACAGTAAAATAAAATAAAAATTGTTCAATCATTCTGGTATTTTAAGATATCCAAACATTTTAATGTGACTGCCCCCCCCCCAAAAAAAAGAAATCATAATTGTTTTCTTTTTTTTTTTTTTTTTTACCTCAAGTCAATGTAGATCTGTGTCTTATAAAAGATGACAATACCAATAATAATTTCTATTTTTCGCACTGTTGTCCTGAGCCTACATGTAATACAATACATGGATTGATAAATACATGGAGAAAATAGCTTGAATGAGAACAAAAGCACTGGCTTGTAAATAAGTCAGGCGTAACAGACCCCCCCTCACTGTTCTAAAACCAACACAGCTTTTTTAACAAATGTTTTTAATAAAATGCATCATGTACATATCTTATAGCATTTATTTCTTAATAATACTGGTACTGAAGGAATATTGTTAAGGGAAGATAACTGGTTCATACTGAATAAAATGTACGGATAAAAAAATGAATCGCTCAATTTTAAAGGCAGCAATCATACAGTGATGACCCCCTACGCATGGTAACAAAAAACAGACATTTATCAAATTACTTTAATGACGGCTAACAGTCTTAGACTGTTACATGTTGGTTAACTGGAAAGATTTTTCATAATTCAGCGAGTCTTGGCGTGAACCTTGAAGGGTTCAGGCACACGTGTAATTCCAGAAACTCCCTCTGTGCTCAGCTCCACTCCATCAGGAACAGAGAAAGTGAACTTCTGCAGCAAGCCGACAAAAAACAGGAACAGCTCCATCTTGGCGAGGCTTTCACCAAGACACATACGCTTCCCTGAAGAATTCACAAACACATACACGTGCAAGTTTACAACCTGTGGATGATGTTTTTTTTCTTGTTCAGGTTGTGCTAAAACAAAACACTCATTGTGGGGTTTTACCTGCAGAGAAAGGTAGGAATGCTTCTCTCTTCACAAACTTCCCATCAGCATCCAGGAAGTGTCCTGGGTTGAAGGTGTCTGGAGTCTCCCACTCAGTCTTGTCAAACAGCACAGAGGTGAGTACAGGCAACACACTGGTACCCTAGAAAAAATAGACAAGAAAACAACAAGATGCACTTTAACAACAACACCTGACAGAACAAACATGTGAAGCTTAAAATGTATACTGCATGCACCATAGGTATGTGGTAACCATCCAGAGTTATATCCTTGGCGGCAATTCTGAGTCCATTGAGAGGAACAATATTTCCCATCCTCTGAATCTCGTGGATGACGGCATCGGTGTAGGGCAGATTTGGTCTGTCAGCCATGGAAGGCTGGCGGGTTTGTCCAATCACGTTATCTATCTCTGCCTGGACTTTCTCTGTGAAAGAGAATTAAAGGAGTTCAGCTTTAACTGTGGGAGAAATGTTTACCTTTGCTGGCTTTATGTTTTGGCTACTTTAAAACATATGAAGCCCAGCATGTCACCCACCCTGAATATCAGGATTTCTGATCAAGAAAACCAGAGCCCACAGCAAAGTGGTGGCTGTTGTTTCTGTTCCAGCCAGGAAAAGATCAGCAGAGCACATAACCAGGTTGGTCTCAGTGAAGCCCAGGTCAGATTCATTGAGCTGTTCAGACAAATGAAAAAGTTACAGTACACAGTCACAGTAACTGGTAGAGTGCAGTTTGTGCAATGCAGTGTCCACATACATTCTCCATCTTGATAAGGAAAGCATCAATGTAGTCTCTTGGATTGTTGTGATCCAGGTCCTCCTTGTGGCTCTTTATCTCCTGAGCGATGAAATCTTTGACTATGTCGAAATAGCTGAACATTTTGTTATGAGGACCTGGCAAAAGCTTCATCACTCCAGGGAAAGAGTCGTAGAGCTGGTGATGAGAGGAAGTTAAATTTATAAATGATTAAGACAAATCCCACGCATGCCATACTGCTGTCCCTTTTTCACTTTCTGAAATTCACTTACCTGACCCCATACAGAGCCCTCCAGCTGAAGAGTCTCCGACAGATACTTCAGCATGAGCTGGAAGTTGTGGTCACTGTAATCATATCTTTTCCCCATCACCAGCTGGCAAACTATATTAGACACAGCATTGTTGAAGAGACCTGCTGCACTGAAAAGTTTACCTGAAGAAGAAGAAGAAGAAGAAGAAGAAGAGACAATTGTTACAGGTAAATTTTTTGCTCCCTTGTGCAGGATTGTGAGCTTATGTTCCACTTAAT